TAATGTCACATACGAAGAGCTACAACAACAGATCTCTATAGTTGTCGAGACAAAATTCTGCTGATAATTCACAGAATCAAGAGGAATTTTGACAGAATTCTTAAAGGTAAACAGAAGCGATATTTCTGCTCTTTGAATCGATCTAAAATATTATTAGAATGACAACTACGACTTAATCAACATTATGGAAAGGATAGCCTTCGCATTCAGAAGAAAACTCTTTTCTCCAAATGATTGAATGTCATGTGTGAAGAGAACAATTTCCACAATCAGACATAATAATGATTAGTCTTTTTTATGAGACTTTTTTGATATTATAGAAGATTCTAAAACAAAGATCTTTTGTACTCTTAATAATAACCATGTCACAAAATCTCTACGAATATGAGCAACAATAATGTACATCGCCTAGTTCTTGTTCTCATTGATTATCAAAGGAACTGAAGCGTAATTTCTATTTATATACAGTCAATTTAGCTATCGTTTTGTTCTGCTTGTTTCTTTCCTTATTCAAGACATTCAACATCGTTTGATGAAAACAAAAGAGTCAATTGTCATATGTATATGCATGTCAGTTGAGAAAATCTTGTAACCAATCAGAATATAGTGTGAGAACGAATGAGTAAATCAGTTTGAATGAAATGATCGTTCTTTCCACCATGGCTGATTATCACAGCAACCTAGGAGATAGCATTAAGCGACATTTTGATGTAGATGTGTTGATCCTTTCGTCATCTATACTAACATCCACATTCACATCTTTGTGTGAAGATATGAATCACATTCACACGCACAACATTTCATGTTGCACATTTGTTTATACTACTGACGGTTTCTTTGGTGATTTTAGTCAGATAAGAAACGCAATTTATTTATAATAACGTTGATAAAACAATAGAAATATTTTTATTGAATACAAAAATTGTTTAATAATCACAAGGATCATCTTTTGTTTGTATTAAACTTGGAGAAAATTTTTGATTTGAAATGATATCTAAAACAATTTTTCCAACCGTTTGATAATCCTCTAATTCCATATATATTTGTGCACTAATACGACAATAAAATTTATTATCAAATCGAAACATTGGTAAAAATATATTATATTGATTAATTAATTTTTGATATAAATTATTCATTTTATTTCTTGTATCAAAATATAAAGGTAATTCAATATTATTCATTGTACTTATAAATGTTTCATTTGATGTTAATGTTGAACTATTCCACATATTTGCAATTAAATTTCCAGCTTGAATAGCTAGTTGATGATTATAATTGAAAATATCTGTTTCATTTGCAATTGTTTGTCGAAAATCTAAAGCATCTGATATAGTCAAATAAGGACTATAATCTTTTGTTCCAAGCCAAAAAAATTCATTTTGAAATGATTGTAAATAACCAAATGATGTTATTATTGGATGAATTAATTTTTGTAAATCTTTTTTTACATAAAGTAAACAAGCACTTCGATGATTATATAACCATTTATGTGTATTTGATAAATAAAAATCTGGATCTAATTTTGTTAAATTAAGTTCAATAGCACCAACTGCATGTGCACCATCAATTAATGTTAAAATTTCTTGTTGACGAAAATATTTTATCATTGTTTCAATATCAAATAATATTGCTGGTACTGAACTAATATGATCGAAAATAATTAATTTAACATTTTTTATTTTGTCTATTACATCTTGAGTTTTTTTTAATAATAAATCTGTATTTTGAATAGTTTGATGATCAATTTCTATTTGAATAATTTGTTCTTGAGTAAAGAGTTCTGTTGAAATATATTGTAATGTTAATTTAACCATTCCATATGCAATATCATAATATAATATAGTTTCATTTGATTGAAATTTTAATGATTTAAGAATTGAATTTATTCCAGCTGATGCATTTTCAAGTATAACAAGATCATCTGGATCACAATTAATATATTTACTTAATTTTTTTCGTAAATTTTCCATTTCAATTTGAAGATCTAAGCGAAACCATCGATCAGGATTATGTTCAGCTTTTAATTGATATTCTCGAAGCTTGTCATGAACATATTTTGGTGCTGAACCATATGAACCATGATTGATATTTATATAAGATGGATCAAGAGAAAAAAGTGGTAATAATGAATGACCAAAAGAATCAACCGGACAACTGATCCAACAAAGTAAAAGACATATCAAGAGAAGTCTTTTCATTTTGTCACACAATGAATACAAGTTATCAGTTGATTTGGCTTGCTTCTATTATCAATGTAAAACGAAAATAATTTTCTATTCGCTTTTTTTTCTCTATTATCTTATCTTCGAACATAAGATACTCACCTCTTTAGTATTTCATCCGCCTAGTTACTTATATTTCTAGCTTACTCTCTATATCAGGATGATGAATTATTTATATTAATCAATTCAAACAGACAATCAAGGTATTGTAAATTTTATGATTTTGAAGATTTCAGTAACACGTTCTATAATACTACAAAGAAACAGTGATGGAGTCTAAAAACGTGATCAGACTCAAGGCAGCTACGGTTCATCACATCTATTAGACACTATACCTAAAAATACATCATGCCAGCAACAATGAAATAAAAAACACCAATCACAAATTAATTATATTCCTCTATCGCATCTTTCATTCTAGAGGGTGTTAGTTTAAGGCTTCTCTTCCCCTAAAAAATCGATCCTGATGCAGGAACATTCAAATTGCATGAAATTTTTACGAGACGTTAGAGCTAGTGTGAAAAGGCGATGGTAAAATTTTCAGCTGTATATCATGATGTTTTTAGAAGATATTCAACGAATAAGGGTTAAAATAACTCAATAAGCAAAACAAATTTTTCTGCTCAAGCTCATTCTATGTATTTAACTTTTTTTTGTTTGAAAGAACATGTCAGAACTGGAATGCAATACAGAGCTTTCTTTTAAAATTCTTACTTTTAAAGGAGAGGAAAGACATGACAAGTTTCATGATTCAAAAAAAAAAATTTTCGAAATATGGCGTTCCCAATATATAAGTATTTGAGTACATAATAAAAATGAATTTCTATCAACAAAGGACACTGTACTGCACTGCGTCTTGAAATGCTCTTTCAAAGAAAGAAGCTATTGGTTTCAATGAAACTTCTTCGAGAATCTGAGATGCGCAATAGAAAACTTGTAGAACGAGAAAAAAAACCAACAAGATTTTTTGAATAGGAAATGACAACACTCTTCAAAAATTTTTGGAGGGTAGATGTAATCAAATCAAGTTTTTGCGAATTTTCGTTGGAAGAGAGAAAGAATAATTGTTAGTGTAATTCTTGTTACTAAATCTATTTCACATAATTGTTGATTGGATACTGTGATAGATTCTTCTTGCAAACAGTTGAGAAATTGATTAGTTTCCTCAATTGAAGGATCTTCTTTTTGAATTTGCTCGTCAGAAAAAAAATTTTCCAACTTTCATCTGATTGTTGGCAGAAGGAAAATTTTGATTTGGAAATGCATTCTATCTATTGCTCGATTGCAAAGACCCTGTTGGTTTATTAAAATGTTCACCGTACTCATAGAAGGAAATATCGGAAATGATCCAAATTTTCTGAAAAGTGATGTATTTTGGAACGCTTCGTTTCGATCACCGTGATGATGATTATGGCAATCTCCGAACTTTCTAATCGGTATACTATTTTTGTAGGAGTCATTTCTGACATTGAATAATTGATGAGAGAAATTTCCTTTTTTTTGGAAAGTTGAACATTGCTGATCCAATCTGTATTCAAGAGAGACCTATCATATATTATCAAGAGTGCTTGAAGAATAATTTATATGAGTTCTTTTAAGAATTCATTTAACTATTGCACGTTTTGTGGAAATAAGAGATGTAAAGATTGTTTCATAGATTTATGACCAGTTTGAGTTTTTTTTGTATTGTTTGAATTTGTGATTTTGAACCGATGCAAAACATATGTATATATATAGGCACCATCTGAGTCATTATTCGAAATTTTCTATATCCATATGAAGAAATACGCCTGGCGAGCAAGTGATAGAAGCTTGGAATTAAGAATCGAGGGATTGCCTTTGGTGGCCAGTTCTGTCCGGTTAAGAGCACACCTAGAAGAATTTGTCAACCCAATTCGATCAAGAGACTCCTGTTTCGAAATCGTTTAATTTTCTATTGGACTTTTCAGCGGTAACTTGTCATAATTATTAACGTAGCTAGTCAATATAGATACGGTTATTAAAAAAGCGTGTTACTAGAAAACATGCCAAAACATATCAAATTTATGTTTTACTATTTGTTATACTAGAATGAGAAAAATATCAGTCACGCACTCAATATGAGTCACATTTACCATTTTATTCTCATGGAGTCTAATATTAAAATAAGTTTCGACATGTTTTCTTTCTTTATATGGTTAAGACAAAAATATCATGAAAAACCAATTCGATAAGATTATTTGAATATGTTTACAACAATGTCTATGCCCAAAATAGCACTGAAGTTTATGAAATACGATAGATATGTCTTAGGAGAAATTCATTTTTAATCAGGCGCAAAACTACGAAATAATTTATTTTATTTACAAATAAATTTTAGTTTTAGGTATGAGTATCTGAATGAAGAGAAGATCGACATCCACATCCACCACATTCGTTTTTTTCCCGAATTGTATCAATAACGCGCAATCATGATAGTTTTGTTTGAAGTTGATCGAAGTTCTCTGTAAACTTTATTGTACCTTTATTATTTGGTGTCGAAGACTTTCGATTTGATTGAACAGCAAGTTCAGCACATATCAGGGCTTGATCATATTGTTGGAGCTTACTCAATATTCTCGATACTTTGTAATAAGTCATAGCTAAACTTGAATAATTAACATGAGACGCTTTGTTTTCAATATCTAATGCTTCACGATAGAAGGTGAGGGCAGTCGAGTAGTCTTCTGCTTCTTGATATACTTCACCAATGGTGCTGGATATAGAAGCTATCGACGGATGATTAGATGGAAGTACTTATTTTCGTATATCCATAGCTTTTTGAAGATTATTAAGTCCAGCCATGCGTTCTCCCATAGATATTTGGGCAAGACCAATATTTTTGTAAGTAGTAGCCAACCAAGGATGATTTGCTGGAAGAATTTGTTTATAGATTTTAAGTGTCTTTTCATAATATGGCAAAGCAATTGCATATTCTTGTCTTTGATCATATACAAGTCCGATATTGTTATAAGTAGTAGCTAGATCTGGATGGTTTACTGTCAGCTTTTTTTCTCGTATAGCAAGGGCTTTTTGATGATATGACAGTGCTTTAGAAGTGTCGTTGAAGTTGGTACACAAAAGATCCATATTATTATAAGTAGCTGCTAGATCAAGATTAGTTGAAGGACTTATTTTTTCTTGAATTTTAATTACTTTTTCATAGAATGTTTGAGCTTCCAGATCATTTCCTTGTTTATATTTAATATATCCCAATTGATTATATATTGAAGCAATTGTTTTTTCATCATTATTATGTGTTGAATCCAGTAATAGTTGATACATTGCTTCGGCTTTGTCAAGTTCGCCTAATGTAATCATTAATTGACCTAACCGATCGATCGCACTTCCTTCACCAATTTCTCGTCTTATCTGTTCAGTTAATTGTATAGTTTGTAAATCGTTATTGCTCACCGATTTCAAGCTAACTTTCCATATATGATCATTGTTTTCTTTGACTTGAACGATTCGAAAAACGGCATGCATCGAAAAAAGAATTTCTTTTTCTCTTTCATTATAATAACTAATATCATTTAATGAAGCAAATGGAGTTGTTATTACAGTTCGATCAACTTCTACTTCAAATAGAACAGAAGTTTTACCATCTTGATCTGTAGATCTTTGTCCAAATTTCATCGCGACATTCAAGTCATCAGTAGTAGAAAGGAAATTATTGAATGTAAATATACCACCAATATTATTTCTTAGTCCAATAAATGTATCATCAAGCATTCGTTGACCTCGATAAACGATAAATGAGCCCCATGCGATCGGATCTTTTTGAATGTATTTCTTTAATTTGTTGATGAATATTTTTCATAAAGAAGCCCATCCCAGCAATAATATTAATATCAAAAGTTCTCAAACTACGATTGAGCATTCGATAAGCAAAACATTCACGAATATACCACCAAATAGGTGAATGTTCGTGATAATGATGTAAGAATTCATCAATTATTTTTAATTGATCTGGATTGTCATGATAACTTTTTTGACAAAAATCAACAAACTCGCTGGTTCACCATAGATTATTTCCAATAGAATGTCTTTTATTAGTTGTGAATACATAAATGATGAATTAACTTGTTGCAAATCCGGATTCGAAGAATTATTCAACGATAGAATACTAGTGGGGGTCAAATCTTGTTCACATTGTGCAGGATCCCTTACAAGTGATTGACAAATAGGTTCAATTTGATTAGTAACAAGTTTTATCTTTTTCCATTGTTGTGTCCATCTGTGAAGTGATGGTTGTCCATAAAATACATAAGTAGAATCGAGTCGAACAAATTTATGAACAAGTGGTACTAATTTTTCTCCAAGTTTTCCAGATATAATAATGAATATTTGTTCATCTCTTGTTTTTCAATGACATCATAACATTCGTTCAAATCAGTAAATAATCTAATTGAATTACAGATTTTTAGTAATTGAGATAAAGTATAATGACAATCTTTTTGTGATTGATTGATGTTCGAATCTAACCATATGAGAACAAAATTTTGAACAATCTTATTTTCGCAATATTGTATAACATTTTTCTTGTTCAAATACTTTCTTTTTATAGCAGGTGTTCCAGAAGAGTTTCCCATGTCATCAAGCGTAATGTATAAATACTTTCTAATTATAAATCAAATATAGTGCTAGAATTTGTGAACAATGAAATGTTCTCTTTAATCTTGCTAAATAATTATTTCTATTCTTAAATATATAAACATAGGTCTGCACATGGATGAAGGGTGAGGGATGATTTTGAAGTAGTTTTTGTTATACTCTGATATTTTTATGACCACCTTCCTCGAAATCCTATGATCTCATTGGAGCAATGACGAATAAAGACAAAATTATAATACACCAGAAAATTTTAACTCATATGACAGCACCTTTTACATTACCGTCTACCTTATCGTGAAGAGTAACGTAAATAAAAGTTCACATGCATCTATCTCTGAATAGTAAATGTTGATTTGCTGTTAACATTATGGCACACATCCTTTGCAATGTAAAAGGTTTTTAAAAAAATTCAATTCAGAAAAAAGAAAGTGTATTACTTTTGTCAAAAAATAACAAAAATTTTGTTTCTATATGCATGTGAATGATTGAATCTAGCGCTTCTTTTCCCCTAGACTGAAAGGCCAGGGTCTAGAAACCGTAATTCACCTGTGTCTATCTGGCCGTCTGTCTGCAACAAGCGCTTGGCACAAATGACCATTTCTATGGGACAAATGACCATTCCTATGGCACAAAGGACCATTTTTATGGTACAAATGACAGTTTCAATAGCACAAGTGACAATTTCCACGCCACAAACGACCATTTTTTTGGTACAAATGACCATCTCTATGGCACAAGTGACTATTTTTATGACACAAACGACCATTTCCATGGTGCAAATGACCATTTCTTGACGTAATTGACCATTTTCATGGCACAAGTGACCATCTCTATGGCACAAATGATCGCAAAAATACGAACGTCTGTTTGTCATGCTTCTGTCAGTCTAGGGCCCAGTGAATCGACCATTGATATCGATGAACGTCACTTGTTTTTTGTTATCTTCACATTTTTGGAAAAAATAATACAGAAAATTTGCATGTGGCATATGATTAATGTACGAAAAAAAAGTACTCAGAAAGTCAGGCGCACGAATAGAAAAGGTAGCGATCAACAGTATTCAAAACCCAAATAATTTGTCAAACCTTTTTTTAATGTAAAATAAATACAAACAACAAACATATATGACGGTCCACATTAAATGGTGACACGAAATCTTTTTATTTATCTTCTGATGTACATTATACTGCCATTTGAACTCGATTGAGACAAATTTTCCAATCTAGTGAGGTTTTGTGTACAGTTTTTTCAATCGGCACAAGAATCAGTTGTTTCTGAAGAATTTCAATCCAGAT